CCTGGCACAAGCGTCGTGGTGACGTCACCGCCACTTAGTGGCAAATGGCTGTTGTTGATGTGAAAGGGGAGCGGTAGTGTAGTGGTTAGTGTGCTGTACTATGAACCCAGCAACTCGAGTTCGATTCCCGCTTATGGTCAACACCAGTGACGATTATGTGAACCGGTTCTGGGCCTCCCCTAGGTTGACTCAGCCTTATATGAGTACCTGCTGCGGTGTGTAAACATCGCCGCTAGGGAGACAAAGGCGGCCGGGCGTGGTGCTGGCCACCCCCTCGTGTGCCGTGCTGGCCTTGATATGTGCTCGCTAACAACACTTGCCCCAATAGTCTGTTAAGGGTATACGAGGGATCTTAGTTTTGTGTGTGAAAGAGGGTGTGTGCGCCTGTGTGCGTGCGTGGGGAGTGGTAGTGCAGTTGTAAGCGCGCTGCGCTACCAACCCAGCGACCCGAGTTCGATTCCCGCTCACGACCAACACCAGTGACGATTATCTGAATGGGTCCTAGGTCGACTCAACCTAAAATGAGTACCTGGTGCAGTGTTTAACCGTCACCACTGGGGAGTCAAAGGTGGCCTGGGATGGTGCTGGCCACCCACCCCCTCATGTGCCACAGTGCTGGCCTTCATAGGTGCTGCTCACTCACAAGCACTTGCCCCAACAGACTGAAGGCTACACGGATCGTTGTCTTTGGTGCATGTCTGTGCGTGTGTGCAACTGTGGGGACTCATTGCAAATCAACAATATTTATTCTTATTTATGAGTTTAACACTGCTTCCCTTTGTTGTTGAGCCGTGATCTTTTTTTATTTTATAAAAGTGACCGTATGTGCATTTAAATACAGTGCATTATTGTGTTCTGACTTACAAACCGTCTCAGCAGTCGAGGACTGCACGGATGATTTTACAAATCTATTAAGTACATTTGTACCTGCATTGTATCGTGGATGAGGTGTGGTGAGGAGTGTAGAGTGAGGAGTGGTGAGTGAGGAGTGGTGAGTGAGGAGTGGAAAGTGAGGAGTGGTGAGTGAGGAGTGGTGGAGTGTGAGTGAGTGAGTGGTGAGTGAGGAGTGGTGAGTGAAGAGTGGTGGTGAGTGGATGGTGAGTGAGAAGTGAGGAGTGGTGAGTGGTGAGTGAGGACTTGGAGAGTGAGGAGTGGCGAGTGAGGAGTGGTGAGTGAAGAGTGGTGAGTGGTGAGTGAGGAGTGGAGAGTGAGGAGTGGTGAGTGAGGAGTGGAGAGGGAGGGTGGTGAGTGAGGAGTGGAGAGTGAGGGAGTGGAGAGTGAGGAGTGGAAGTGGTGAGTGAGGAGTGAGAGTGAGGAGTGGTGAGGAGGGGTGGAGAGTGAGGAGTGGTGGGTGAGGAGTGGAGAGTGGAGAGTGGAGAGTGGAGAGTGGAGAGTGGAGAGTGGAGAGTGAGGAGTGGCGAGTGAGGAGTGGAGAGTGAGGAGTGGTGAGTGAGGAGTGGAAGTGAGGAGTGGAGAGTGAGGAGTGGAAAGTGGTGAGTGAGGAGTGGTGAGTGAGGAGTGGTGAGTGAGGAGTGGTGAGTGAGGAGTGGTGAGTGAGGAGTGGTGAGTGAGGAGTGGTGAGTGAGGAGCGGTGAGGAGTGGTGAGTGAGGAGTGGTGAGTGAGGGAGTGGTGAGTGGAGAGTGGAGAGTGAGGAGTGGTGAGTGAGTAGTAGAGAGTGGAGAGTGAGGAGTGGTGAGTGGTGAGTGAGGAGTGGAGAGTGAGGAGTGGAGAGTGAGGAGAGTGGTGAGTGAGGAGTGAGGAGTGGTGAGTGAGGAGTGGAGAGTGAGGAGTGGTGAGTGACGAGTGGTGAGTGGAGAGCGAAGTAGTAGAGAGTGGAGAGTGAGGAGTGGTGAGTGGTGAGTGAGGAGTGGAGAGTGAGGAGTGGAGAGTGGGGAGTGGTGAGTGAGGAGTGGTGAGTGGAGAGTGAGGAGTGGAGAGTGAGGAGTGGAGAGTGAGGAGTGGTGAGTGAGGAGTGGAGAGTGGTGAGTGGAGAGTGAGGAGTGGTGAGTGAGGAGTGGAGAGTGAGGAGTGGAGAGTGAGGAGTGGTGAGTGAGGAGTGGAGAGTGAGGACTGAGGAGTGGTGAGTGAGGAGTGAAGAGTGAGGAGTGGAGAGTGGTGAGTGGAGAGTGAGGAGTGGTGAGTGAGGAGTGGAGAGTGAGGAGTGAGGAGTGGAGAGTGAGGAGTGGAAAGTGAGGAGTGGAGAGTGAGGAGTGGAGAGTGAGGAGTGGTGAGTGAGGAGTGGAGAGTGAGGAGTGGAGAGTTAGGAGTGGTGAGTGAGGAGTGGAGAGTGAAGAGTGGAGAGTGAGGAGTGGTGAGTGAGGAGTGGAGAGTGAAGAGTGGTGAGTGAGGAGTGGTGAGTGAGGAGTGGTGAGTGAGGAGTGGTGAGTGAGGAGTGGAGAGTGGGGAGTGGTGAGTGGTGAGTGAGGAGTGGTGAGTGAGGAGTGAGGAGTGGTGAGTGAGGAGTGGTGAGTGAGGAGTGGAGAGTGGAGAGTGATGAGTGAGGAGTGGTGAGTGAGGAGTGGAGAGTGGTGAGTGAGGAGTGGTGAGTGAGGAGTGGTGAGTGAGGAGTGGTGAGTGAGGAGTGGTGAGTGGTGAGTGAGGAGGGTGAGTGAGGAGTGGTGAGTGAGGAGTGGTGAGTGAGGAGTCTCTCACCCGAGGGCCGTGCTGCTCGAGTGAGCGCTGCAGCGGCGATGATGAGGCCAGCGCGCTGCACGCAGCCTGCACACCGGAAGTGTGCACCAGCTCGCCCAGCTGCGGACACATTGCACCAGAGAGAGATCCCGCGATGTCATTCCAAACAGGCCACGGAGTCACTGATCACGTGCAAAGCGCTCTCCGAGACGCGCCAGCGTGAAGGGCAATCCGTCACAAACAAACAACGAATGATAACGATGAGATTTGTGTGTGTGAGATGAAGCACTGACCACACACACACACACAAACCTTTTGTGTGTGTCTATGTGCGCGCGTGGGTGGCCAGCACCACGCCCAACCACCTTTGTCTCCCCATTGACAATGTTTACACACTGCACCAGGTTATCATTTGAAGCTGAGTCGACCTAGGGCAAGCCCAGGACCCATTCAAATAAAACGTCACCTGGTGTTGGTCACGACGGCTGCCTTTGACACGTGCTTTCCTCGCCATGGTTGAATCATGACCTCTGTCTTCAACAATAAACCCATCATTCGTGGTAGCGCCTTGTGTGCGTGTGTGTAAACAAATAAACAGATTCACACATACACACATGCAGGGTCTCAATTTACCTGTGGTAAAAAGGGATAAAGGTGCAGGGAGGGAGATCCATCCGCCGATGTCCCCTTATCCGAGGGAAACTCACTCGATCGGCGAGAAAGAGGAACTGAGACAAAGACGCATCACAAACACACATTGGCGTTATAACCACAGACATCAAAGCCACACAGGCACCACAGCCACAGACATCACAAACACACCGGCGTTACAACCACAGACATCACAGCCACACAGGCACCACAGCCACAGACATCACAAACACACCGGCGTTACAACCACAGACATCACAGCCACACAGGCGTTACAATCACAGACATCACAGCCATAGAGGGATCACAACCGCAGACATCACAGCCACACAGACACCACAGCCACACAGGCGTTACAACCACAGACATCCCAGCCACACAGGCGATACAACCACAGACATCACAGCCGCACAGTCATCACAGCCACAGACCCCGCCACAGCCTCGTCGTACCTTCTTCGTGAAGTTCTCGCTCAGCGCGGTCTCCTCGGCGCCGGCAGCGGAAAGAGAGAAGGAGAGCAGTGCCGTGCACAGCCTGGCCAGAGACAGCGCCACTCGCAGAGTCACGGCCTCCACAGACTCAATGTCATCATCCACCATACACGCAGCACAGACGCTCCGATTCTCAGAGGCCAGCCCAGCGCGATAACCTTGCCGCTTTATAGCAAGGGTGGAAAACATTGAGCCTACATGCCAGACAGGGCCCACGACGTCATTCGCACGGCCGGCGTTGTCGCTCGCACGGCCCACGGCTGCACCTCCGATTAGCACGGTTGGCTACATACGGTGCGAAAGAAGTTCAACATACATACATACATACACTCACACAGCCGATGATTTCACTCATACGGCCCATGACTTCGGTCCTCATGTGGCCGTGAATTCACTCACTCAGACCGCGACTTCCCTCATTTGGCTTGTGGCTATTTATTTCACACGGCCTGCAGCCTCCTGCCCCAAACAAATTTGAAACGACCTGAAAACAATCCATCACTGCGAGCAGCTTAGTAGTATCATTCTGATACTAGAGAGGAATATCCTCGACCTGGCTATGCATTTCTATTTGAATGCAGTGTGAGTCCTAACAACTGTGTGAATTATTACTGAATAATGCCAAGCTGTGAGCAATTCTGCAGCCCAGAAAAAAGGTATTTGAAATTCCCATTTGACCCTCAGAAAGGAAAGGATTTTCCACCCTGGCCTTACATCACAGTTGTTTACTGGAACTACTTCTCGTAAGCACTTATGACAAAATAATCATGAGCATCGTATCTGTGGAGAATATAAGTAACACAACAAATAAGCAGGCAACACGTCGTTTTACTACATCTGTTCTTTCATATCAGCCACCATTTCAGCAGCATTAATTCAACACAAACTCTGGACTGGTGTTTAAAAACAGTCAGTGTCTCATCAGCAGTCAGACTTCCTAACTCGAACTAATGCTGGTAAACTGCCAAATGTTTATAGGCAAGGATTCCTCTCCGTCACATTAAATCCGAGTTTGACGCGACACTCCAAAACACACAACATAATAAAGGATGAGTGGGAAGCTGGTCGAGTTAACAGCTCCCACTGGCTCCACGTGCACCTCTCCCAATTGGCTCACACCACCCAATGCACGACTTGCAGCTGTATCACACGATGTGCTATCCTGAATGAGGGGGCGATAGGGGCGATAGGGGCGATCGCACCCCCCTCCACTCTCTCCCTTAAGACCCTGAACATTGGTGTTGTATTAATATTTACCAGAAAAAATGTTTAGATGTTTGAGTAATGTAGGGCTGTTTAAGAAGCTACCTCATTATCTTCACTCTTCTCATCGATGCCCCCCACTCCTCTCCCTTCACAATATGGCACATTTAAAATAATTATGATCCTCCCCAAAATTCTGTACTTCCTGAGGTTTGGTCCCCTCACGGATCCTGAGGGACTTTTTTTATTTATCTCAAAACACTGCATTCCCGAATCTCCGCCTTTATTAAGAATCGCAAACTCACATGCACTGGATTAATCCTCCCTTATGTTACCGGTAGGCGAGGGAGGCTCTCCCAAATTTCCGGAAATGCGACAGGTTCCGTGGGTCTGCACAATGCGAAGCGCTGACTGGACCCAACGAAGTGGGGGGATTGCTGAGAGCTGGGAAGAGGAATCGGCCCAACCATGCCTCCTTAGGTAGGTCTTGCCTTTTTCCGCAAAAAGAAATAGAACTCGGAAGACGAAGCCATTGTGGACAGTCTCATCGGCGCTAATGAGCTGCAAAGATGGTAGAAATCCCCCTACCCCCCCCAACCCCCCTTACACAGAAGACGGACGTAATGGGAGAAGCCTTTTATGATAGTAGGGGGCAAAAGTCATAAGACGGGGCACAGTTGGAGGGATCGGGAAATGGTTAGTGATCTTTGTCTGTGGGGGGAGGAGGGGGGGGGTGCCTTCTGATAAGACACAGGCTGATTAACAATGTCCCTAACTGTTTTGTTTATACACACACGTGGTGTCATGTTAAATTACTCACACAGACACGTTGTAACAAGTTACCTGCTTACACCAGTCCACCCAATCATAGATTGGCTGTAAGTGGCCAAAGGCTAAATATTAGATTAGGCTTATCCCTCACATTTAAATCTTCGTCTTCCCCCTAACGCGAGGTCTCTCTCTCGACTCATTCGAGTTGGGAAGCCCTCTGAGGTTTCCTCCTGGATTGTCGTGGGACATTTCCTGCCCTGAACGCGGATGGAGAGGGAACGGGGAGGGGACTCGTCGTGTAGGAGCTGGACCCAGGGCCGCACCGATGCCACTCACCGCAACGAAAGGAGCATCTCCACGGCGGAGCTGCAGGGCAGCGCCGCGGCCACGCTCTCCGTGAATGGCACGGCCTGCAGGAGCGGCTCTGCAGGGTCGGTGGCAGTGGATGCAGGCAGGGCCGTCACGAGCGGGAAGGCGCTGCGGTGCCGGTGTACGAGCGCCAGAAAAGCGGCCAGGCCCAGTATGTGGCAATCGCTTAGCTGCTGGGCCTGAGCACACACGATCCATAGCACAAGCCTTCTATAGCACACCACACATCACAGGACATGCCTTCGATAACACACACACCATCCCGTAGCATACATCCTAAGAGCACGCACCCTCTAATAGCGTGTGAGATTAGGTTTTAAACTGTATAAAACCTAATCTCACACATCCACTAACAGCACACACACACCCCAGTAACATGCCCTGCATATATGGTACACCCAATCCCCAGCACACACCTTCGAACAGCGCAATCAATCCAGAGCACAACCCATCAATGGCACATGCCCAATAGCACACACTCTCATAGCACATTTTCTCCAATAAAACACCCCCTCCAGTAATACTAGATATGTGATGATGATGATACTGAGTTCGGTGATTATCAGGATAATAAGGGTCATAAAGTGGTTAGTGATGAGGTTAGTGATGATGTAAGTCATGAGGAGGAGGTGGAACCTGTTTGAGGAGGAGGGCCCACACTCTGCTGAGTAGCGGCTTGTGAAGCCAGCTCAGGCCCGCGAGCATCAACACGAACCGGCAACTCCAGTCAGGCAGCCTGCAGCACCCCACAGCACAACACACAGGACGGGCGCAGCATAGTACACACAGCACGGTGCAGCATAGCACATCGCAGTAGAGCATCGTACACATAGCAGGGTTCAGCATAGTACACACAATACAGCTTAGTACACACAGCCCGGTCGAGCAAAGTACACATTGCATGGTAAGCGTTGTACAAAGAGCACGGTACAGCATCATACATCATACACACAGCAGAGTACAGCTTAGTACACACAGTAGGATACAGCATCGTACACACAGCAGATCACGGTAATTAAGTTCACGTTTCGGGGCGTGTGCCACTCCCTCACCTGAAGTCGTGGTGCATGGCGCAGACACCGGTCACCGCCTTGCAGAAGCTGTTGAGAAGCAGGTCGACCAACTGTGGGAGAGAGAGAGAAAAACAACAACAGGAAGTAACTGGCATTGGCCAAATGTCTCAATGCTGCAAAATCACCTCCAAGTGGCTCGGTTGGGATGAGAGAGAGCAACATCACCCACTTCTAAATCACTCGACTGGGATGAGAGAAAGCAACATCAGCCACTTCTAAAACAAAGTATTGAGATTCAGTGGGGCTGCTCTCCCTTGTAAACGAGCCCGACAATAATAATAACTGCGTGGAGAGTGACGGCGTAAGATGACGTGCACCCGCTATCCCTGCTACTCGGCCACAGATGAAGGTGTGGAAGACCTCACCACTTGTTCAATGATCACCAAGGGTTGCACCAAGCAAGTGCATGGAAGAGGTCTTGGACAATTAAGATGGAATTTATGACAGTTTCTTTCCAAATAGCAACGAATACCCCAACTTATGTCATTACATAAAACTGTTGAAGCGCAGAGGACGAGGAGCTGAAGAGAGACCATGGACACTGTCAAGGTCTGAACTCTGGAGTTGAGTTGATACAGTAGATCATCGGTTATCCAGCAGCTTCGGGGGGAAGGGGGTGCCGGATTTTCAAAAACGAGCGGATAATCACTACATCATTTTACAAAATGGCTTATTTAGCACATTCTTGTATGACATTGTGTTTAGTTATTTCTATGTTTTTTTTAAGTGTTTAAAATTTGTTTACGATTTGACATCATAAATAAACATATGAATAAAACAATCCTACCGTTACTGTATTTACTGTACCATACTTATCATTCCAATCTCGAAGACTCTGCACGGGGTGATGTCCATACTGCTACGCCCTTGTTCCAACAACACGGCTTGGACGATGGCCGGACTGATGCAGGCTTCAGGCTGGTGCTCCCGCGAACGCCGAATTCACGCACTTTTCGCCAGATCACACTGTATATTTTCAGTTTTTATGACTGTAGTTATTAGTCATGAAAATTGTATATACGTGCAGTATTTACATGTTTTAGGTTGTATGTACTGGATGTACTGTATAACCTACTGCATATAGCATTTGCTCCTTTTTTTTGTCACACACGGTGCCGATGGCCGGACTGGTTGCTGCCTTTGGAGCGATTTTGCCGATTTCGCCGGATCAGCCTGGGACCAATGGTGGAGCCAGGATTTTCAGGTAGGGGGGGGGGCAACCCCTCCAGCAATGAAAAATGACAGAGGAGTTGGTAGTAAGGACTTGTCTCTTGCTTTTTATTTGATGCGTGTGCGGCGATGGCGCAACCATCGATCGAGGGTCGAATTCGAACCGTGTGTGATCGGCATCGCGCTCGCTGAAGGCATTTGCCTTCAGGGAAGTCGTGGACTGTATACGCAACTGCGCACAATTCTGCGAGTCACTTATAACCGCTTTGCCGTTACTTATTGCCAATTATTGACTCAGACTATTGTCCTATCATAATATGCTACAGGGTGGCAGTGGGGGTCACAACATTCCGATTTATTATTAATAAACTCCAATAATCCGATCGAAATTAGGAATCGGATCATTGGGGGGGCACGTGCCACCCCACCCCCACCCCCCGTGGCTCCGCCAGTGCCTGAGACCCCTGAATAATGTTGAAAGCCGAATAATCGCATGCTGGATAATCGATGAACTGTAAGTCCAGAATGAGCTGGAATGAGGTGGGGACATTAAAAGACCAATTTTTATCATATGCATGATCATTGCACATTTCGATTAGCACGGTTGACTACGTAGGGCACGAAAGAAGTCCAACATTTGTATGTATGTAGTGAGTCACTTCGGAGACACGAGTTAGGAGGCAACAACGTTTATTCTACACTATATAACGCCGTTACACAGGGGACTACAATATGCCTATCTCTTACACACCGTTACACACGGGATAACTATAAATGGGTCAGAGCAGCCAACGTGCCGTCTGACCTGACGTCAGAGAAAGAGATGAAGACATAGCACCTCGGGTTCACTTCACCTGCAGACAGCCCCGCTCTTCGATCTGGGCTTCCCTTTTATCTCTCTCGGCGCGGCCTAGCTCCGCCCTCGGCCACGCCCCCTTCTGGAACGTTCCCGAAGGTTCCAGGCCACTTTGCTCGTGCCACCTGCCCGGCTCCACCCTTAACCACGCCCCCTTCAGGAACCCTCCAGAAGATTCCCGGCTACACTTCCGGTGTCCCCTCGGTCACCTTTGCCCCACATTCCTCACCCCGGCCCATCGCGTGCTTCACCCGAGGCCGGGGTGACTCATCCTCATATGCCCCCTTCTGCCAGCAGCCCGCACCAGCTCCCTAGTGACCAATTACGTGGCATTCACTCGCTGTGCTGGCGGAGTGGCTGCTATCCCCTACTCTGTCGGTAGGACTCATCAGCCTCTCTCTGCAATCACCCAGTACCATGCACCCGAGCAACCCACTGTGTGGTACTGCATGGTGTGCTAGCCTCTACACCCATATTTCCTCATTCTACTGTACTTAGTGCTACGTGACATAGTGATCCGTTCTATATCACTACACGTACACAATGCACCCCACTCTAGACAATGACATATGCGCATCCTTCTCCAGGTAGCTCACCGGCAGAGCGAGCAGCTCCCTATCTGAAGGTTGTAAGTTTCAATCCTCCCGGATCAATAAATAAAAAACACTTTGTGGAAAAGGCATAAGCAGTTGTCCCAAGAATAGACTCCATACCTCGCCATAAGAATGCGGATTTCTTTTCTGACTAGCTTAGGGCTATAAACGGGAGAGGAGCAATCACCTCATTGCTCATTTGAGCAGGGGACTCGCTTTAACTTGAATGACTTTGTCCTGCATTGTTTGGACCTCAGGGGAGGTGGCCATGCTAATCCCCAGGCGTCGTCACCTGCGGTGCCCATTGCTCACCTGAAGGTGCTCCTTGGCAACGGGGCCCAGGCGGAGCTCCCGGGGAGGATCGGCCCCATGCAGCTCCCGCAGGCACTCCTCCACACGCAGCACGAGATGTGACACTGCTGCTCGCGTGCAACATCACGGAAAGCACCACGATACAGCACCACGACGCAGGACCATGTTACACCACTAAGTTACAGCACCACTATACACACCACTATACACACCACTATACAGAACCACGACGCAGCACCACGACGCAGCACCACGACGCAGCCCCACGACGCAGCACCACTATACACCCCACTACGTTACACCACTACACACACCACTATACAGAACTATGTTACACCACTAAGTTACATCACCACTATACACCCCACTACGTTACACCACTACACACACAACTATACAGCACCACTATACACCCCACGACGCAGTACCACTATACACACCACTACATTACACCACTACACACACCACGATACAGCACCACGACGCAGCACCATGTTACACTACTAAGTTACAGCACCACTATACACCCCACTATACACACCACTAAACACACCACTATACAGAACCACGATACAACACCACGATATACCCCACGATACACACCACTATACACCCCACTACGTTACAGCCCCACTATACAGAGCACTATACACACCACTACACAGCACTACATTGCAGCACTACACATCATCACATTACAGCTCTATACGGCACCAGGTTATAACGAGAGAATACCGTACATCTCTGGAAAGCTTATTGAGCTATGTGGTCAAAGAAGACATTGAGTAGCGTAGGGGGGTCCAGTGGACATCCCTGTTGCACCCCAAGGTGAACAGAAAATGGCTCTGATACCCGGCCACACAACTTTATTCGGGCCTGCCCACAATACTGCATTTCCCAGTGGGTCTTACTTGGCATTGATCAATGGCATACACGAAATATTTATTTTATTTTACCAGGTACAGACCATTGAGCTACATAGCTCTTTTCAGAAGCAACCTGGCTATCACAAATGATAGCCCAATGAAGTGGCTTATCATCATGTGGAAATGTATATCAGCCAAATACTATAATACATGATTGTGAGCAGAGGGTCTGCAACCCAGAAAGCACGAAGAATAACCCATAGCCATGGTCTATACACAAATACATACAGAGATCCTCCATATAGCCTTCCAACACTGTTGAGGCAAGGTGCTGCTAAATGTATGTACAACTTCTTTCACGCCGTACGTAGCCAACCGTGCTAATTAGGTGCAGGGGAAGGTCAACAAACGGAACACAAAAAGCAGTTGTAAAGAAATTAGTGCTCGATCTATATTTAAAAGTGTCTTGGTCTCCCCAGCGCTGACATTCACACACCACACTAAGTACCCATTAAAGGCTGAGTCAACCTATGGGAGGCGCAGGATCAGTTCATATATATAGGTCACTCAGAGTGGTCAGGCGCAGGAATCAATCATGGGTCGCCAAGTTCCTAGCAAAGTGGGGCAACCACTGCACCACCACTAACCACAAGGATAAACAATTCCCCACAATGGAAATAAACAAACACAAAGATCCCCCGTGTAGCCTTCACAGACTGTAGGGGCAAGTGCTGTAAGCGAACACCTATGAAGGCCGGCACGGCACACGAGGGGGTGGGTGGCCAGCACCACGCCCGAACCCCTTTGTCTTCCCAGTGGCGATGTTTACACACCGCAGCAGGTACTCATTTGAGGCTGAGTCGACCTGGGGGAGGCCCAGGACCGATTCAGATAATTATCACTGGTGTTGGCCGTAAGCGGGAATCGAACTCGGGTCGATGGGTTCGTAGCACAGCGCGCGAACCGCTACACTACCGCTCCCCACCCAATGCAAAAAAAACGCACACACACGGGCACGCACACACACATGCACACACCCACATGCACACACACACACATGCACACACACACATGCACGCACACACACACACACGGGCATGGGTGCTGACCATCCTGCGTGTCCGGGCTCCTGGCTGCAAGGGAGGCGACAGAGGGGAGTGACTCCAGGCTCTGCCGCACGACGTCCATCGGTTCAGAGGGAATTCCTCCCACGGGCAACGTGTCTGTGACAAAAACAACATCAGCACCAAGGTAAATCACAAAAACTCACTCGCATACAACTCAATACTCCTCATGTCGTATGGCAAGGTAAACATTGAAACAGACGTGTACATCGAAGTGATTAAGCCTTTGTGGAGGCTTGGTGGATATTGGCGATACTGCTTCGCGAATAGGCGGTGTTGGACAGTGTTGGATTATGTGATCCATGATCTAGCTTTGATGACTGCGGACTGATTTTCGTTTTCCCATTTGATGGAGGAGGTGACAGCATCTGCCACGCCATGTTCTGCACTGATTTAGGGCTGAGCACTGAACCATGGGAAGAGGTTGTTCGTGATAAGTGCGTTGCACTACAATTCACGCCACTGTTCCTTCAGGCAACTGCGAGATGAGCAGGGGTGGGAGGGGGTTTGGAAGCTCCTGGTGGATAGGTAAGTTCCAGATCGTCCAGGATGCACTGGGTATATTCAGCAGGTCTGGGTATCTCTTTGGTTCTGAGACGGGTGGATTAATTCGGCCCAGTGTGGGGCAAGCATTGCACGGGGGTTAATCAAACATCCTGCTTGCGGTGCCCATTGCAGAGTTGAGTTGTGGATCCAAGGGCTTTGCGAGTGTACAGGGGATCAGTGCTCTGTGGTTAAATAGACCAGCAGCGCCAATGCCGCTGCTGTGCGTGCATTTGCGCCACCCCCCCCCCCCCCCCCATGTGGTGCCCGCTCGGTCTCTCTGTGAGACTCAACCCAGACCGTGGGGTTTGTTGACGGCCCCTTTGAGGTGGCTTCTGAAGCTGCGGCTTCTATCCAGTCTGAGGTGTTTTGGGCTGGCTTCACGTTTTACCTTCCGCCCATAATAAGGTCACTGTCAAGCGGATGGCAGCCTTGTCGTTCAGATGGGAAGGTGTTGCCAGTCTTGACCATGTTGGAGAGTGGCATCCGGGGTCTTGAGGTCGCCTGTGAGAGTGTGGCCGATGGGAGACTAGTGGCTGTTGTTGTGCCTTGGACTGTACCAGAAGTGCAATGTTGTCCGCATAAATTAATGTACGGGATGCCGTCCTGATGATGCTGCTCGTGATTACGTTGAAGAGCAGTGGGGAGTAAGCACAGAGCCTTGCTGGAGGACATTGTTGAATGTCATTGCTCTGCTGGCCTCTCCATATAGATGCACACAATACAGTACCAGCAATTTTCCGAGTAAGACTCCGATGAAATGTACGGTTTTACTGGCATTTGATGAGCCTAGATACTTTAGCTACGTTGCCACACTGTGTCATCAGACAGATGATAGTTCCATTCATACCACGGCTGTTTTCTGTTTCCATCGAAAACCAGCCTCAACTTGGCTTGTGAGAGCAAGGATCTGGTCACAGCTACTAACAGGCTGGCTTAAAACCGGCGAGTTTCTTCGGGCCAGAAGTGCGTTCTACAAAGGGTTACTTGCGGTGGAGAGGAGTGAGATGGGTTGATAACTGGTGGTATTGTCTGGTAGTTGTTCCGGACTGCAGGAGGGCAAGGACGATGTCCTCCTCCTCATACGTGCTGGGGATCCCCATGCTAATCGGTGGATGAAGAGATCTGTCCCAGCCACTATCTTTGCTTTGGTTCACATATTTTTGGAGAAACTTTGGGTAAATCCCAATCCGGGCCAAGCAGCTCTCCGCTTCTTGGTGACCGATATTGTCACGTTGTGGAGTTCAACGGCCCCCAGATGTCACCGTAATGTTCAGGCTTTGCAGCTGAAGTGCACAAAGTCAAAAGTTTCCACAGTTCTCATGCCACCTTTCCAATCGGGTAGTCGAATGTTCATTGGAGCGTGGCCACTCTTCTTTCCAAACTCCTTCAGGAGTCTTTACAACACTGGAAGCCAGCATGGGCTGTAGAGTGTTCCTCAACTCACTCGAGATAACATTGGTGGTATTGGCCTTCAGTGCTTCAACTAACTGGTTACATTTTTCTACCTTGGAAGTAGATCTCCAAGTTTGTGAGCTGCTTGCCCCGCTCCCCACGCTCGCCATCCCACTCCCCACGCTCGCCATCCCGCTCCCCACGCTCGCCATCCCGCTCCCCACGCTCCCCACGCTCCCCACGCTCGCCATCCCGCTCCCCACGCTCGCCATCCCGCTTCCCACGCTCGCCATCCCGCTCCCCACGCTCGCCATCCCGCTTCCCACGCTCGCCATCCCGCTCCCCACGCTCGCCATCCCGCTCCCCCCGCTCCCCACGCTCGCCATCCCGCTCCCCACGCTCGCCATCCCGCTCCCCATCCCGCTCCCCACGCTCGCCATCCCGCTCCCCACGCTCGCCATCCCGCTCCCCACGCTCGCCATCCCGCTCCCCACGCTCGCCATCCCGCTCCCACGCTCGCCATCCCGCTCCCCGCTCCCGCTCCCCACGCTCGCCATCCCGCTCCCCACGCTCGCCATCCCGCTCCCCACGCTCGCCATCCCGCTCCCCCCGCTCGCCATCCCGCTCCCCACGCTCCCCACGCCCGCCATCCCGCTCCCCACGCTCGCCATCCCGCTCCCCACGCTCGCCATCCCGCTCCCCACGCTCGCCATCCCACTCCACCCGCTCGCCAATCCTCTGCCGTAATTGCCCCACTGCTTGTACTCACCCTGCTGCCCGTGCTGCTGCTGCTGGATCTCGGCCATGCTGCATGCCTCCACGTAGGCTCTGAACATGTGGCTGGGAATCTTGTCGGCTCTGAGGGCGGGGGGCAGTAGGGTGTAAAGTGACCATACGGTCGCATCGTCTCGCTTAACGAGAGAGACGTTCCGCGGGAACTGCTCGGTAAGAGAAAGCTCGTTAAACGATCGTCGTTTTCCCACCGACTCACTCTCCCCCCCTCATGTTAAAAGCTGAGCCAGCTACGTTTAAGGCCCCAACATTCTCCACTCTTGATCAATTTTTTGGAACACAAGAAATACAAATGACTGTATTATTTTAAAATAAAGTAACACCACATTTAGCACTTACAACACATGAAGAACCAGTGCAAGAACCCCCGTATAGCCTGAACAGACTGTTGGGCCAAGTGCGAGCACCTATTAAGGCCGGTACTGCACACGAGGGGTGCGTGGCCAGCACCACGCCCGGCCGCCTTTATCTCACCAGTGGCGATGATGTTTACACACCGCACCAGGTACTCATTTGAGTCCGAGTCTTCCTAGGTGAGGCCCAGGACCTGTTCTGATAATCATCACCAGTATTGGCCCCGAGCGGGAATCGATTCGGGTCGCCAGGCTCGTAGCTCCGCGTGCTAACCGTTGCGCCACCGCTCCCCACACACTCCCATTACGATGCTACCACAAGGCCCCCACCTGAATCATGGCACAGCACAGGAGACTGGTAAACAGCTGCGGGCCGTGGCGCGCTGTATTACGATACTGTAGCACTGTTATACACAACGTCCCCTGCCGCCACGGGATGCATTTGATCGTTGATCGAACAAATTTGGGCTATAATTTCTCATTGTTAGCGAATTCTCGTAAAAAAGAAAAGAAAGCTCGTTAAGCAGGAAACGCCTGTGTTGTTATTTTGCACGTTTAGTCAGGAAAGACTTACCGAGTCTCAACACTTGACTTAAAGCTTTCGTGACAGCATCATCGGGCAAATCGCCCGATGATGCTGGATGTAATTACCAGCGAAAGGTCGTACTCAAATTGTAAATGTTGTGAATTCACTTTTCAACACACCGGTGGGCTGACCTAGTAACTATTTGTCTTTTTGTTTACGTGACAAATCCCTGACTGATTGGCCTTGTCGGGTGGTGGAGGGTTTCGACATATTTATACTTATGGAATGTAACCCAAAAACCTTGATTATGAACAGTACGTAAAATTCGTGATCTGATCCCATCTGTGAAGGTTAGGATTCCTGACATGCAATACCCTGGCATCTACAAACTAAGCTGTGTCTGCCGCAGTAGTTACATTGGGGAAACTAAGCGACATGTTTCGGACCGTGTTGGTGAGCATAAGGCAGATCTGAAACACGGTATGACCAACATGTCGGCTGTGGCTGATCAATGTTTTAATGCGGTGGGCTCACGCGAAATTGATTTCTCTAAGATGAAGGTACTTTGTAAGCCCACTGGCTATCAACAAAGATTTGTTCTTGAATCCATCCATATATACAGACACAGACACAATTTCAACCGAGAGGATGGGTACAAATTCAGCAATCATTGGAAGGACGTCATAAACCAGTTTAAGTCATAACTGGCTGTGATGTTTCTATCCTGCCACCTTCCGATGTTAGTTTTTATTTCTTATTTTATTTTTTCCCCGTGGCTTTGGCTCTCCGATTTTACATGAACATCTTAAATTTATCACACCTACATAGCCACACCTCCGCGCGCTCGCCATGGAGGCCGCTCTCCGATCTTACATTAACATGCTAATCTCTCACATTAACATCACTAACCCCGCCCACTTCGTTTATGACCCTTGGGCTACACCCAGTATTAATCCGTACCAAGTGCAAACAGTGAGGTCCCCCTTCGGTTTACGATGCCATCGATTCACAATCCATTTTTTCTATTTGCGATAATTTTCAACTCACGATGTTTTATATCATGCGGCCACCAATTTAGGCCAATCGGAATTCTCCTAAGTGGACTCAGCAGCAGACCTCAGCCAATCAGCGACCTGCCCTTTATTTGCATTTTGAGAGCAATTGGCTAGCTTACCAATGTTTAATGTGCGCTGCTTATGGAAACAGCTCTCTTGAATACTTAAGCCATCTATTTTCTTAGCCTAAGGTAAGCATTTTAATTTTATGTTGTATTTATGCACATTTTTAAGCTCCATGTATTAATTATTTATCCATTGGTATTAATATTAATGCTTTAATATGTTCTTAAAACGTTTATTTATTAAAATTACGTGTTTAGATATTATAAACTATGTTTTTAGGGTGAAAATAATTACCTTCTGATCGTCTTCGAGCAAATTAAGCCTTCATATCGTATTTCCTATAGTTTATTCCCGATAATTTTAATTAGCGATAGTTTTTGTGGAACCAATTAATACCGCTAACAAGAGACGACTGTAACAAGTACATGGTGGTATTTGCACTCGTGTAAAACCCTGGCTGCCCGGGCTCAGAGGGCAGCCAGGGTCCAGCTCGCTCATAGGTCCATACTCAGCCTCAATGTCAATGAAAAGGTGCACAAAAACAAAACAGCAATCCCACGTTCAGTCAAGCGTATGCATATGTTTGTGTATTAGTGAACAGACTAAACAATAAAAAGCGAGGACGTGTCTGTGGGTGTGCGTTGAGGACTGCGGGGAGCGGAGGGTTAGTGTGCTGTGCTACAAACCCAGCGAGCCGGGTTCGATTCCCGCTCACGGCCACCATCAGTGATGAATATCTGAACCGATCCGGGGCCTCCCCTAACTCGACTCGGCCTCAAATGACTCCCTAGTTCGGGGTGTGTAAAAACTCCATGAATGAGTCGACAGGCATGTAGGTGACATGGTCATCCTGCATCTTAAGTGGACTGACTCGGCATCACAAATAACGTGCATGCCATTAGCCATGCTATTAGCCTGGCTCGGTTCAGATGTATCAGCAGACAAGGGAGTCTATGTAGTAAATGTTCGCGATGGACCGCACCTCCTCATGGCCTCGATGAAGACCATGCGAACATCTGGGTCATCAGGAAGCTGTGACGGCAGCATACAGAAGAAACGCCATGAATAATAATCCAACACGACACCAACTTTGCTCCGTCTCAGCAGACTGTGGGTCAACATCGGGTCACAATTCCAAAGTGGACAGATGGTTAAGGTGCTTAATTTACAGCTGTTTTGAAGTGATAGGAAGCATGTCGCCATTGGCAAAGACGTGCATTGCAATGTACAAAAGCTATCTTCCTTATCTGGACCACCATTGCAAAATAGTTGAATGTGTGGCCAATTTGTTAATCACACCCCTAACTCAAAACAGTTGAGAAATGGGGTCATCTAAATGTTCTTGTTGCGATTGGTTTTTTCATCGTTACAGATTATAATTAGACTGAAAACTAATTTCTTTAAAACTGCTTGTTGTGTTTAGTTTGTTGTGCTTCCCCTGCACCACCGATTAGCACGGCTCGCAACGTACGATGCCAAAGAATTTCGATTTAAAGCTTTCGTGACTGCAGGGATTCATCTTCTTGGTTCTTTCGGTAAAGTCACGTAGAATGGAAATAATAAAATAATAAAATAAAACATTATAAGATCATTTTCACGACGTTTCGGCCACAACGCAAGCAGCCATCCTCAGGTGAAGACCAGGTCTGTCGAAACGTTGTGAGAATTATCTTATAATGTTTTATTTTATTATTTTATTATTTTCATTCTACGTGACTTTACCGAAAGAACCAAGAAGGTGCCAAAGAAGTTCAACATACAAACAAAGTCATAGGCCGTACCCGGCATGCGAGCCTTAGAATCCCCCGCCCCTGGCCTGCAGTCACAGGGACGATGGAACTCGGGAACAGAAGCACATTGGTCAGGCGCCCCACGAACATCGAGCCACAAGACCAACCTTCTTTCCCAGCCTCACCAGAAACGAGTCCAACAAAGTCGCGACGGACCTCCGGACGCAACGGCTCAACTTACACGGCGCGTTTTCAGCAGCGCTGGCAAGAAGCGCATCTGGAAATATGGCCTCCTGAAAATGCTGGAAACAAAATGAAGAACATTGATATGAGACAGACAGGGTGCTCTTGTAAGCACAATGCTTGAGAGAGAGAATTTGATATTGCTAACCCAAGTGGGACATGATAGTGATGTAAAGTGAAAAAACTGTGTGAAACATCGCTCTGGCAGAACCGAGACAACGTGTAATACAGCAAAGAACTTAACACAGAGTAAGTAGAACACAGCACTCATTACGTCTCGCATCACACAGCGCTCATCATCACATTACAGAAAACAGAACTCATCACACGTAGGCTTTCGCGACCAATATTATTCATAATAAAGGTTTTTGGGTTAGATTGCGTTATTTATAAATGTGTCGCAACCCTCCACCACCCGACACGGCCAATCAGTAAAAAATGTATCACGTTGACAAAAGACAAATAGTTCACTACTTTAACCCACCGGTGTGTTGAAGAGTGGATCCACAACATTTACAATTTTGAGTACGACGTTGTTTCGCTGGTAATTACATCCAGCATCATCGGGCGATTTGCCAGAATAGTGGTATGAATCCCTCGACCATCTGACACAGCCAAACTGGTTAAACAATCACGTGTGCAAGCAATTAATGGACCAATTATATATTTCGATTTAAAGCTTTCGTGACTGCAGGGATTCATCTTCTTGGTTCTTTCGGTAAAGTCACGTAAAAGGGAAATAATAAAATAATAAAAATAAAACATAATAAAATTATTCTCACGACGTTTCGGCCACAACGCAAGCAGCCGTCCTCAGGTGAAGAACAGGTCTGTCGGGAAGACAGCGTCTGTCTGTCTTCCCGACAGACCTTATTTTATTATTTCCCTTCTGCGTGACTTTACCGAAAGAACCAAGAAGACAATTATATATTGTTTCAACTCACCGGTAATTTGATAAACAATTCTCACGATCAAATTAAGCAGAAATGATATTGTCTCGAAAAACAAAAGTGTTTGCGATGATTTCGAACAAAGATTATTGTTATATTTAAAAGATTAAACCGATCCACAGTTGTCTCACTCTCCTGCCGAGGTTTAAAATGCAGCCAGAGTTGTTACTGCTTGGTCTAAAAGGTGGCTGTGTGCATGAAACGACAGTGTGATGACGAAACAGAGTGTGCTAGGAGTACAAATCCTATGGTCACAATTGCACATTTTGCTTTCCAGAAGACACTTTTTGTAGGGTTGGTATTATTATTACTCCTGATATTAATTTATTACACGTATTTACCCATCCAAGCTTCACTAAATCTGAAGACTATTTCAGGAGGGTCCTGCCACATTTTTTTGCAATGTGAAATCCCAATCGAATAATTGGACAGTGAGTTTTCTGAATTGAGACGATTGGCCAATTCCAGTTAGATTATGTTTCTTTTTTACTCTAGGAAGAAACTGGAAAACCTGTAGGAAACCCATGCAAGAGAGAGAGAACATACAAACTCCACACAGAGAGGTGCTCAAGTTAGCAATCGAATCCAAGGCATGAGTGTCACTATTGTGCCACCATGTTGCCATATGGAGCCCTGACAGGAATGGGTGACCACGGACTCACCTCGCCTCCATGACACTAGACGGGATCTTTCCCGTGCGCTCAAATGCCACCAGCGTCTTCTCCACGTCATCCTCCATGCGATGGGCGCCCTGACAGACACACCACAGGAGTATGACACTACAACATCATCACACACTGCGTTGCTTTTTGTGTTCAGTTTGTTGTCCTTTCCCCGCACCTCTGATTATCACGGTTGGCTATGTACGGTGCAAAAGAGGTTCAACATACATTGATACAAACAGGAAAGACACTGCAGGTTTCTGCGTCATGACCCACTCGGACATTAAAGTCACCGAACAGGATGACTATCCCGAGGGGCCACTTTAGCTACCACCTATGACAGGAGGTCATAGACTCATCGGCCTTGTCTGTATCCCACCACTGATGCTCACACAACCTCACCACCAATCTTGCCTCCTGTTGATGGGGAGGCATATCTACGTATAGGAGTCTGTGTGTTCGTGTGTAGGAGTCTGTGTGTACATGTGTAGGAGTCTGTGTGCACAAGTGTACGAGTCTGTGTGTACGTGTGTACGAGTCTGTGTGTACGTGTGGCTGTGGAGTGTGTGTGTAAGTCTGTGTAACTTGTGCTGCCGAAAGTTACCCACCGATCCGTCCTGCGCGCGACGGTCCTCGACTGGGTCAGCGTAGAGGCCCATCTCCTCTATGGACTCCTGGAACCACACGGACGTGAAGCCAAAGAAGAGCGGGATGCTCCATAGGAGTTCACAACAACACAAAACAGAGGTGGTATGCAGCATTGCACGTACAACACCTCTCGGCCTTATGCAGACCACCCAGGTACAGAGAAATGAACGTGTGGCCACATTGTCATTTGGGCGACCAACTCAAAGAGTGGAGAAAATGTCACGGTCCCAACAGGCAGCAGGTTAACAAAGACCCAACTATGGACCCAGATTCAACCTCATGAGGACACATCAAGGCAGTACAATCATCAATGTTCTGCACTACCATATCCATGTGGGAGCCCCATATATGTGTAGTGACATCGCTGGATGTCAACATGCTGTGGGGGCAGTACCGGCCCTAGAAGGGCACGGCGTGCAGTGTAGCAACATCGCCGGATACCACAATGTTGTGGGTGTAGTACCGGGCACGGTGTGCGCTGAATAATAGCGCTGGATGGCACCACGCTTTAAGTGCAGTGCCGGCCTTACAGGACAGGGTGTGTGGGTGCCGACCAAAGGATGAGGTTGTGTGAGGCCATGGCACTCTGGTTGACCCGGGAGGACACGTGACTGGTTAAGTTGACAAAGGGGGCCTCAAGTGGGGGCTAGGGGGTGGTCATGTGATTGGGACCCAGATCCTTCCCGAGGATTCTGGAAGGTGGATGTGGCCAAGGGCGGAGTCGGCCACGCCACAGAGAATACAAGCCGGGTCACGATAGGGACCAGGTTGTTGTTCATCCTGGAAGAAACCCTTAGTCTACGTTCTCCATTCAACGAGTCTCCAACAAGTAGACGCGGGCCGAAGCTGTTGGTCCCCGTCCATAGTAGCAGTTACGCTGTAACTAGTAACTTAGCCGGGTGGTAACCACCAGGCTAACTACACCAGTTACGTTGTAGTGTAGTTAGCCGGGTGGTCACCACCTTAAGTTGTTATGCAGTTAAGGAGAAGTTACCCCGTATGTTGGAACTGAATAAATGTGTCGTGAGTCCAACTGAGTCGCAGATGTTTCTCTTTAGAGGCAACACATTTATTATAACATCAACGCGTTAACACAAAGGAGTAATTGCCCCTTTACCAGATACACCCTTGGGTGGTGACCACACAGCTAACTGCCCTATACGGAGGAGTTACAGCTACAAAGGGTCTGACCCTAACTCGGGTCCCGGCCACGTGTTGATGCCTGTAGAGCTTCCAGCTTGTAGACGTGGAGCGTCCAGCTTGTAGACGTAGAGCTTCCAGCTTGTAGGATGTAGAGCTTCCAGCTTGTAGGACGTAGAGCTTCAGCTTGTAGGATGTGGAGCTTCCAGCTTGTAGACGTGGAGCTTCAGCTTGTAGAACGTGGAGCTTCAGCTTGTAGGATGTAAAGCTTCAGCTTGTAGGACGTGGAGCTTCAGCTTGTAGGATGTAGAGCTTCAGCTTGTAGGACGTGGCGCTTCAGCTTGTAGACGTAGAGCTTCAGCTTGTAGGACGTGGAGCTTCCAGCTTGTAGGACGTAGAGCTTCAGCTTGTAGGACGTGGAGCTTCAGCTTGTAGGATGTAGAGCTTCAGCTTGTAGGACGTGGCGCTTCAGCTTGTAGACGTAGAGCTTCAGCTTGTAGGACGTGGAGCTTCCAGCTTGTAGGACGTAGAGCTTCAACTTGTAGGACGTGGAGCTTCAGCTTGTAGGACGTAGAGCTTCAGCTTGTAGGATGTAGAGCTTCAGCTTGTAGACGTAGAGCTTCAGCTTGTAGGACGTGGAGCTTCAGCTTGTAGGACGTAGAGCTTCAGCTTGTAGGACGTGGAGCTTCAGCTTGTAGGACGTGGAGCTTCAGCTTGTAGGACGTGGAGCTTCAGCTTGTAGGACGTGGAGCTTCAGCTTGTAGGACGTGGAGCTTCAGCTTGTAGGACGTGGAGCTTCAGCTTGTAGGATGTAAAGCTTCAGCTTGTAGGACGTGGAGCTTCCAGCTTGTAGGACGTAGAGCTTCAGCTTGTAGGACGTGGAGCTTCAGCTTGTAGGACGTGGAGCTTCAGCTTGTAGGATGTAGAGCTTCAGCTTGTAGGACGTAGAGCTTCAGCTTGTAGGACGTAGAGCTTCCAGCTTGTAGACGTAGAGCTTCAGCTTGAAGGACGTAGAGCTTCAGCTTGTAGACGTGGAGCTTCAGCTTGTAGGATGTGGAGCTTCAGCTTGTAGGACGTGGAGCTTCCAGCTTGTAGGATGTGGAGCTTCAGCTTGTAGGACGTGGAGCTTCCAGCTTGTAGGACGTGGAGCTTCAGCTTGTAGGACGTGGAGCTTCAGCTTGTAGGATGTGGAGCTTCAGCTTGTAGGATGTGGAGCTTCAGCTTGTAGGATGTAGAGCTTCAGCTTGTAGGATGTGGAGCTTCAGCTTGTAGGACGTAGAGCTTCAGCTTGTAAGACGTGGAGCTTCCAGCTTGTAGATGTAGAGCTTCAGCTTGTAGGACGTAGAGCTTCAGCTTGTAGATGTGGAGCTTCCAGCTTGTAGATGTGGAGCTTCCAGCTTGTAGATGTGGAGCTTCAGCTTGTAGGACGTAGAGCTTCAGCTTGTAGATGTGGAGCTTCCAGCTTGTAGATGTGGAGCTTCCAGCTTGTAGACGTAGAGCTTCAGCTTGAAGGACGTAGAGCTTCAGCTTGTAGACGTGGAGCTTCAGCTTGTAGGATGTGGAGCTTCCAGCTTGTAGGCGTGGAGCTTCCAGCTTGTAGACGTAGAACTTCCAGCTTGTAGACGTGGAGCTTCCAGCTTGTAGACATAGAACTTCCAGCTTGTAGACGTGGAGCGTCCAGCTTGTAGACGCAGAGCTTCCAGCTTGTAGGCTGTAGAGCTTCCAGCTTGTAGGACGTAGAGCTTCAGCTTGTAGGATGTGGAGCTTCCAGCTTGTAGGACGTGGAGCTTCAGCTTGTAGAACGTGGAGCTTCAGCTTGTAGAACGTGGAGCTTCAGCTTGTAGGACGTGGAGCTTCAGCTTGTAGGATGTAAAGCTTCAGCTTGTAGGACGTGGCGCTTCAGCTTGTAGGATGTAGAGCTTCAGCTTGTAGGACGTGGAGCTTCCAGCTTGTAGGACGTGGAGCTTCAGCTTGTAGATGTGGAGCTTACAGCTTGTAGGACGTGGAGCTTCCAGCTTGTAAGATGTGGAGCTTCCAGCTTGTAGGATGTGGAGCTTCCAGCTTGTAGGACGTGGAGCTTCCAGCTTGTAGGACGTGGAGCTTCAGCTTGTAGGACGTGGAGCTTCAGCTTGTAGATGTGGAGCTTCCAGCTTGTAGACGTGGAGCTTACAGCTTGTAGACGTGGAGCTTCCAGCTTGTAGACGTGGAGCTTCCAGCTTGTAGACGTGGAGCTTCCAGCTTGTAGACGTAGAACTTCCAGCTTGTAGACGTGGAGCTTCCAGCTTGTAGACGTAGAACTTCCAGCTTGTAGACGTGGAGCGTCCAGCTTGTAGACGTAGAGCTTCCAGCTTGTAGGATGTAGAGCTTCCAGCTTGTAGGACGTAGAGCTTCAGCTTGTAGGATGTGGAGCTTCCAGCTTGTAGACGTGGAGCTTCAGCTTGTAGAACGTGGAGCTTCAGCTTGTAGGATGTAAAGCTTCAGCTTGTAGGACGTGGAGCTTCAGCTTGTAGGATGTAGAGCTTCAGCTTGTAGGACGTGGCGCTTCAGCTTGTAGACGTAGAGCTTCAGCTTGTAGGACGTGGAGCTTCCAGCTTGTAGGACGTAGAGCTTCAGCTTGTAGGACGTGGAGCTTCAGCTTGTAGGATGTAGAGCTTCAGCTTGTAGGACGTGGCGCTTCAGCTTGTAGACGTAGAGCTTCAGCTTGTAGGACGTGGAGCTTCCAGCTTGTAGGACGTAGAGCTTCAGCTTGTAGGACGTGGAGCTTCAGCTTGTAGGACGTAGAGCTTCAGCTTGTAGGATGTAGAGCTTCAGCTTGTAGACGTAGAGCTTCAGCTTGTAGGACGTGGAGCTTCAGCTTGTAGGACGTAGAGCTTCAGCTTGTAGGACGTGGAGCTTCAGCTTGTAGGACGTGGAGCTTCAGCTTGTAGGACGTGGAGCTTCAGCTTGTAGGACGTGGAGCTTCAGCTGTAGGACGTGGAGCTTCAGCTTGTAGGACGTGGAGCTTCAGCTTGTAGGATGTAAAGCTTCAGCTTGTAGGACGTGGAGCTTCCAGCTTGTAGGACGTAGAGCTTCAGCTTGTAGGACGTGGAGCTTCAGCTTGTAGGACGTGGAGCTTCAGCTTGTAGGATGTAGAGCTTCAGCTTGTAGGACGTAGAGCTTCAGCTTGTAGGACGTAGAGCTTCCAGCTTGTAGACGTAGAGCTTCAGCTTGAAGGACGTAGAGCTTCAGCTTGTAGACGTGGAGCTTCAGCTTGTAGGATGTGGAGCTTCAGCTTGTAGGACGTGGAGCTTCCAGCTTGTAGGACGTGGAGCTTCAGCTTGTAGGACGTGGAGCTTCAGCTTGTAGGATGTGGAGCTTCAGCTTGTAGGATGTGGAGCTTCAGCTTGTAGGATGTAGAGCTTCAGCTTGTAGGATGTGGAGCTTCAGCTTGTAGGACATAGAGCTTCAGCTTGTAAGACGTGGAGCTTCCAGCTTGTAGATGTAGAGCTTCAGCTTGTAGGACGTAGAGCTTCAGCTTGTAGATGTGGAGCTTCCAGCTTGTAGATGTGGAGCTTCCAGCTTGTAGATGTGGAGCTTCAGCTTGTAGGACGTAGAGCTTCAGCTTGTAGATGTGGAGCTTCCAGCTTGTAGACGTAGAGCTTCAGCTTGAAGGACGTAGAGCTTCAGCTTGTAGACGTGGAGCTTCAGCTTGTAGGATGTGGAGCTTCCAGCTTGTAGGCGTGGAGCTTCCAGCTTGTAGACGTAGAACTTCCAGCTTGTAGACGTGGAGCTTCCAGCTTGTAGACATAGAACTTCCAGCTTGTAGACGTGGAGCGTCCAGCTTGTAGACGTAGAGCTTCCAGCTTGTAGGCTGTAGAGCTTCCAGCTTGTAGGACGTAGAGCTTCA